AGGAGCTCGAATCACATGTTTATTATGTTAAATGTGTTAGGAACGACAGGTGAGTTCTGCAGCACCAGAAGAGCTTCATGTGGGTTCTTTCATCTGAACTCTTGGTCACTGACTAGCACTGGGCGACAGGGAGAAGTGGACAGCCAGATCAGAATCGCCTAGGCAGCTTTTTCCCAGACTTTACCTGGCTGCACTTCTGTGTATATCTCATTCCACATAGATACCTGACAGGGCAGGGGAGGATGGTATTCATTAATTCATTCAGCAGACAACTATCAAGTGCTTGTGTGATCATTGGCCCAAGCACTGGGAGAACCTTCCCTGTTTCCTGTTTCTGTGGTAGCTACATTCTGATGGAATAAAGGTGTACCGTAAACAAGTGGAGAAGCAAGCTAATCAGAGTTAGTGATAATCAGAACTACAGAACATGACAAGGTGGCGGGAATGGAAGGGAGCCTGCCGTCATGAGAGGCGTCAGAGAGTCACCACTGAGAGGGTGCCATTGACCTGCAATTCAAACACCAAGGATGAACTGTCCGTGCTGAGCTCTGCTGGAAGAGCATGCCAGGCAAGAACCAGCAAGCGCAGGGCACTGAGTTTGTTTATAGTTCATCGTGCTCATAAAGTCCGGTCACTCTAGCTTAGAATATTTACCTGTTAACTGGCCATCACCATCTTATTGCCTAGTATACTACGGACTTTCCATCATTTTTTTTCTTTTTTGTATTCAGTAAAATTGATATAACACGCCTGCTACCAAGTAGGCAAGGAGGGAGGAGCTTAGAAAGAGAGACCAGGCTACTCTATGGAGGACAGACAGTGAGGCGAGGCTGGAAGCAAAGAAATCAGTTAGGAAGTTAGTAAAGGTTATTTTGGAAACATTCTTCTGGCGACTTACATGGTTATTACCTGACTCCAGTTCAATAAAATATTAAATGTTTGATGATTTTGTAATTGTAGTTTTTATTTATCTGTACTTATCTGTGCACTATTAATTCTGGTAACTCTGGGTTCTAATATTTAGCTTTTCTGGTTTTCATATATTCATACGATCAGTACCTAGCATATAATAACTGGTAACGAATGTTTAGAGACCTCCAGCTTACTTTTCAGTATCCATTAAGATCACAATACTTACTTTAGAATTGACTATTGTAAAGTTTATAGTTTCATGACCATTGCTTTTGTATTCTATGTTTAGCATAAAGATTAATATCTTTAAGCTTAAATATTTAGAATATATACTTTGGACATTAACTTGGGGAATGAATTAATTTTGGTTTAGTATGCTGTGTGTCTGTGTATTTTAAATATATTATTTAATTAATAATTAATAATTTGTTATTTTATTTTTCCAGCCATGTGGATGCTTAGAATCAAATATACCATACATACTCGTGTATAAGCTGAGTTTTTCAGCACATTTTTAATGCGGTTTTTGTGGTAAAATTAGGTGCCTCCGCTGATCTTCAGGTCGGCTTATACTCCAGTATATACGGCAATTTAAACTTTAATTGCTTAATTGAAGCTTCCCGTATTTCTGTGTATTCCTCTATGTACTTACCATTTTGCTTGACTATTAGAAGCTCAGTTAAATGTTTAAGTGGATTTATTGAAACATTTCATTGTACTTAACTCATTGAAGTTAAAGTAAGATATCTTTTCTTTTAAAGGTTGGCTGTTGAAGGTACTAATGGAATAGATAATCATGTACCTCCAAACACTCTAGTCCAAAACTCATGCTGTTCATATGTAGTTAATGGAGACAGCACACCTTCATCTCCATCTCAGGTTGCTGCCAGACCCAAAAATACACCAGGTCCCAAACCACTGACATCTGAGCCTGCCAATGACACTGGTAAGTAGCCCTGACTATTTATGGCATTGCTTACATGAAAGGCTCAATAAGGTATATGTTTCCATGCTTACACTTGGCTTTTTGCTCACTTTTTTGTTTTTTTGGAGCAATATGTATAAATTATTTATTTTTATTTGCTCACTTTCTTTATTTCCTATTTTGTTGTGAGAATTAAGAAATTACAACCCAAATATATTTATATAAGATGATGGGGAAATAGATCTATGTACATATATTTATAGGTTTAGTATTAAGGAAGCAGATGGACATTGGACCTCTACTCAAGAACTCCCTCAATGCAAGAACACTTTGTTCTGATAATCAGGCACTCTGAGATGCTCTCCTTCCTGACACGATCACTAAAGACAAAATGGGTGCATAAGCAAATGTGCTGAAGAAAGCTGATGGTGCTTGGCTATCAAAAGATACAACATCTAGGGTCTCAAAGGCTTGAAGATAAACAAGCA